GGTGTCTCACCATACAGCATTAGTTGCCCTGGAACTCATTATTAGACCAGACTGGCCCCAAACTCACAGAGATGCTCCTGCCTCTGCCTCCCTAGTGTGCTACCACTTCTGGAGAACAAGGGGCTTCTTGGAGAAAGTGGCTACTTTTGGGGGTGGTCTGTGGGTGGGCGGTCAGTCCCCCCGAGGTGTGGTTGGCTTTCTAGCTCATCTTCCACCCTGTGCACACACCTCTCTGTGTTCTGTCTGTGGATCTTCTCAAACTGTTAGACAAATAAAAGTTCTCATTTTGGTTCTTGGCTTTACTGTATTCTTTTCTCTGTTTTTGGCCACATAAGTAAACTTTCTTGCCATTATTTAAATTTTTTTCATGCAGTATATTTTGATTATATTTCCCCTTCCCTAACTCCTTCCAGACCCTCCCGTTTTTCTCTATACAACGCAGGCTTTGGGTTCCTCTTCAATTTCAACAGAAGTATACAGAAGGGAGGGCTTACACATTTCCTTTCTTCCTAAGCCAGGAAACATGACACCGCTCTTTGCATTGTTTAGATAATGGCCTCTGTTTTCCTGGGGAAGCTTCAGAGTTGCCGTGGTCTCTCTGGCCCTTCCTTCCTCCTGCAGGGCTTCTCTCTCCTATTTTGGGGCACTCATGTGAGCTTACCTGAATGACAGATGATGCTCTCAGTAGATTGACCCTGTGGCCAGTGGTAACACCCTGGGGCCTCGGGAGTCCTAGAGAAGAACCAGCCGGAAGAGAGCCCGGATTAGACTCCTTATCCTGTTCCTTGTACCCAGAGATTCTGATGTTTTTGTTTGACATAATATTAACAATAATGAAAAAAGTTGACATTTTAAGAGTGCTTACTGTGTCCCTGGACGAGAAGGCAGTATTCACAAAAGAACAAGGACTTTGCCACTGAAAAAAAGTGCTTTCTTTCCACATTTTTCACAGCAAAGCATTTTCATTTTGATTTTATTGTTTCTCTTCCTTAATCACCTCAAAGACTAAAGAGAAGGTCCCACAGAAGTTCTCTAACCTACACAGTGGTATTTGAAAGGGGAAGCTATGGCCCCTGTGATAACATTTGTTCTCAGCATTGTATCATTTATAACTGGGCATACACTGCTTCAAACACAAAGTGGATGAATTCATTCTTCTGTTTTATAATCTTAGAGTTATTCACGTTATTGGATCTCTGGGACATGTTTTGTCCATTTGAAAGGTGGTATTTATTTATTTATGGATACATGATGTACCTTGGCACGGCTGTAGCAGTGAACTCAGGCTTAGTGAATGGCACATGAGTTGTGAAGCATTTTTGGAATTTGGGGATCCACTTAAATTATTCTGTGTGCGTGTGCGTGTGCGTGTGCGTGCGTGCGTGCGTGCGTGCGTGTGTGTGTGTGTGTGTGTGTGTGTGTGTGTGTTAGTCACTGTTCTATTGGTGTCAGGAGAAACTATGACCAATGCAACTCTTATAAAAGAAAGCATTTAATTGGAGGCTGGCTTACAATGTTAGAGGTTTTGTCCATTACCATCGGGGCAGGAAACATGGCAGCATGTGCTGGAGCAGCAACTGAGAGCTACATTCTCATCCGCAGGCTGAGCAAGAACCTCAGCCTGATTTGATGTTGCTCTTTTGAAACCTCAAAATCCACCCCCTGTGACATATTTCCCCCAACAAGGCCACACCTACTAGAACAAGACCACACCTGCTTGAAACAAGGCCTAATAATCCCACACCTCCTAATTCTTCTAATATTTCCAAAGAGTTCCATTCCCTGGTAACTAAATATTCAGATGTAGGAGCCTCTGGGGCTATTCTTATTCAAGCCACCACAGTGTGTTAAGAACCACGTGCGCTAAAGGACTGCCATCTAAAAACACTGACATTGAGGGGAAGCTGCGGTAAATAGCCCTTGCTTAGATGTTTTCATGGCGTTCATAAAGCCGGGTCACACACAGCTCCTTATGTGAATGTGGGCAGCTGTTTTATTAGGCAAGCTTCTCTGTTGGGGAAGCTGGTTAGGGATTGCAAGTCGACTTCTTTGTATCGGAGACTCAGTGTGTTTTATCAGATTTCACAAAGTGCAACATTCACATTTTAGTCAATTTCTGCACCAATTTGAAGTACCCAGATTTTGCAAGAAACCATGACTTGTCACTATTAGAAATAGACCCACAACCAAGACACTCTTCATTCCTCCAAAAGAGACTATCCAGAGGTGAGAGTTTTGAGCTCTGGCATTTGGAAGTCAGGACCGTTGCAGGGAATGAATCTGGGTAAATGACACACTGGCCTTGTGATTGTTCATGCCCTGGTGATCCTTCACATGACCCTTAAGATGTTGTAAGAAACCAGAGAAGCCTATGGGCCTGGCTGGAGTTCTTTGGGCACACAGAGGAAGGAATGTCTGATACTATGGCAGCAATAAGGAGCAAGTTTCCTTTATCTGAGAATGTACTGCAAGGAACATTCCCTAAAAACTCCCAGATTGTTCTCACTTGCTGTTTTCCTACATTCTTTGACTATTTAAAAATTTGTTTATGTGAAGATATTTAAAAATAGACAGGGATAATACTATCTTGAAAAAAACAATACACAACAGAATTAATATCAATCTATAAACAAATATTATTGATCCAGATAAGGAGCTTTATTATTGAAAATGTCATGAATCACAAAAGAAGGAAAGTAAATGGCTAATAGCCATGGGGAAAGATGTTTAGTCTTGCCAGCAATTGAGTGAAAGCTTGAATAATGAATTACGAGCTCTTTTTACATAACAGGTAAAAAAAAAATGAGAATCCTGATAGTTGGTACTGGTGAAGAATACAGGTTCTCTCATGAACAGGTGAGGATAGCCCTTTTTGATAGCCATGGGGTAAGATAAGTATAGAACCTTCAAATGGTGAACACTTTCTGGTTCATCAACGTAGCCCCAAGGCATTTATGCTGGGAAATCAACTAGGCAATCAGGGAAAAACATGTAGATAATGCCACCCATTGTTTCTAGTGGCAAAACATACGAGGACACTCATATACCCATCACTAAAACCCTTATTGCAGAAATGAAGGCACATCCAGACAGGGGACTCTAGTAAGTGCTGAGAAATGGTCAGATGGTTGGCTGTCAACCTGATGAGAGGGTGAAGGTGTCTGCTGCCAAGCCTGATGATTTGTTTAACCTGTGGGGTCCACAGGATAGAAGGAGAACATTGACTCTTGCAAGCTGGCCTCTCACTTCTCACATGTCGTATGTCAAGTGTACTTAAGTGTGCTTACACACATCACGCACACACACACATGCACACTACACAAGCAAATAAATATTTAAGAAATGGTGTGATGGGGCAGATATAGTACAGGTGGCTGATGTCAAGTAAGTCTCTAGTTCATCTCTCTAGCTATGCTATGGTATTTTATTCAAAGAAGCAACTCTAGGGAGGGGTGTGTGTGTGTGTGTGTGTGTGTGTGTGTGTGTGTGTGTGTGTGTGTGTTCTTTCTTAGGGACTCTGAATTCTCATTCAGCCACACTGTATCAAACCTGAGGATGGAATGGGTTCTAATGGTGATTCTTCTTCCATTTGGTTATCCACAAACTCCTCCCATGGTCCTTATACCTTTTGATCCTGGAGGCAATTACATGAATTTCACAGCATATTACTCTTTCTATTACTTTCATACTCACCACCATGGCTGCGACCACCATCACATCCCACTGGGGTTTCAGCAGTGACTTCTCAGCAGGACCTGGTGGTTCTGTCAGGTCTCCAAGGTTTAGTAACAACATGGATGTCAGGTAGGTCACACTAAGACAGTGAGATCAGGTTTTGTCTGCTCAAAACCTCATAAAGACCCTGATTTCTTTCAGAATCAAGGACACACCCTTTAAAATAATTTGCATAACTGTCCTTCCTCTCTGTGGGTCTTCATGTCTCTCAGCTCTTTTGGGATGTACATATGATTTGTTTTCTCAAGGAGACCTCATGTGCAGATCCTCTTAAATACTACACTGTACCCTACCCCTACTCCCAGGACAGCTCATCCATTTCATCTGCTCTGCCTTGTATTTTTTGTCCCCTGTCATTGTAAAATAATACATAAGCTAGTTGTCTTTTACAGTGTTGTCTTTATTCCCCCCACTTGAATGAAAGCTCTAAAAAGAAGGAGCATCTAGATATGTTCTGCTCATCTAAAGAGTGATTGGCATCTAGTGAATATTACACATATATTTATATAGGTTATATCTGTATATGTAATGAAAGTATCACATATATTTTCGTATATAATATAAGTGATATATCTATATATAATTACCAAATGACTTAAATGAGCATATGTGATGTTACTAGTAGTTCTGAGCATTATGTTGCACCCGTCGGAATGTATGTATATGTGAGTTTGTCCAAAACCTCAAAGAGCTCATGGAGCAGGTATCTCTAAGACCACCCATGTGTGGATGGGGCAACTGAGGGATGAGGAAGCATGAAAGTAAATTGTCTAGCATTTCATAGCTACTATAATTTAGAACTTATGAATACAGTGCCTGTGTCCTGGGGACTGTATTCAAGCAAAACAATCTTGTGTCAATATTGCTTATCGAGGTTCTATGGAATTTCATTGGGCAAAAGAGAGGCTTTCTCATGTAAATATCATTACAACTACTATCTTGTACATTTGGTTCAAACCCAAATCCTTTGCAGGCAACTCTAGGCTATTATTAGATGCCCCATGTAACTAAGTTTGGAGGCACGTGACTTACCATTCCCACCTTGTCAGCTAGTGCTTTGGTTTGCAGAAGCTAAAAATGTTTCTGGAAATGTAAGGGCTTCCTTATACTCATGTTAAAAAACCAAAACAAAAAACAAACCAACAAAATTACCCAACCCTATTCTTCAATGTCGATTTGCTGTCTTGTGTTATGTTCTGGCTCTGTGTTTTTAGCCTGTGGTGGTAATGAAGGCTGACCACTCCCACTCACCATTTTCTCGGTAGGAGAATGACATCAACCTGACTCACATCGAATCCAGACCTTCTCGTGTGAACAAAAATGAGTATGAGTTTTTCACTTACCTGGATAAACGGAGCAAGCCTGCTCTAGGCAGCATCATCAAGAGCCTGCGGTACGACATTGGGGCCACTGTCCATGAGCTTTCCCGGGACAAGGAGAAGAACACAGGTGAGAGATTCAAGACTCTTGTGACCTAAACAATACAATGCTGTTTTCATAAAACAATTGCGTGGATAGCAATTTAAAGGTGTGTGTAAGGGAGAGGAAGTAAGTCAAGGACCTAAACCTAAGCCTAGCATATCATAGACACAATTATTAGCTCCTTTCCCTTCCTCAGTGTAGCTGTTTCTTACTCTCAAGGAACACGTTAAAAGACAAGACACTGTGTAGCCCAGAGTGGTCCCACACTCACTAAGTAAGTGAGGTTGCTCTTGAACTTCTGATCCTCCTGCTTCCACCTGCCAAGTGCGTGGATTACAGGTGTGTTCCACCATGCCTAGCTTATATAGAACCGGGGACAAAAGTCGGTTCATTGCGCATGCAATTTCTTATGTATTTTTTAAATCCCTGGGTTATGATACTCTCTGACCCAAGCAAAGGGCTTTCCCCAAATTCTTAGAGCATGCCAAACCCGGAGGAGGGATCACCTGGCTCCTTGATCCTGACGCTTTCACTGTTGTGTTCTATCCGGTTATCTTTCTCTTGCACTAAATCACAAACTCTTGTGTTCAGGTTGTCTCTTTTACTCATGTCTATAGCCTCAGGGTCTAGCGCAATGTGTGGCACATAGCAATGTCCGATGAGTGGACAGCTAACATAGGCGTTGTTAGAACTTTCTGTGTTCCATTATCCACAGGAGTCACAGGTACGACAGGCTTAGAGTTGGATCAGTGTGGGGTCAAGTCATTCCTTCAGTGACTGACTTTGAAACCCCTTCTTGTGTCTTCCTAGTCATGAACAAAAGGATCAGGCACAAATGCTGCTTAGCATAGTGTCTAGAATATCACAGGGACTGGCTCACTGACAGTGTGGGGTTGCTGCCCTCAGGCTTCGCCTACAAAGAATACAGACAACAAGATGATTGGCTGCTTTTTAGGATGCCAAGTGTATTCAGATTAGCTGCTCTAATAGAATTTATTTTTAATTTTGCAGAAAAGTGAGCAAAATGTACAGAGAATTCTTATGTATCTTAGTCTCCCTCTTATCAATCTGCATTACTACAGTATGTTTTTTTTTTTTTTTAAATAATTGATGGGCCAGTAGCGATTTATTACTAGGAAGTAAAGTTCAGCGTTTACGTTCAAAACCTGCTTTGTGTTGTAGAGCCTTATTGGTTTTGACCAAATGCAGGGTGCTCTGTATCTGCTACCACAGTGGCATGCAGAATAGTCTCAGTGTCTTACGACTGCCTGCCAGTCTGCAGGGTCCACCCCTCCTTCATACCCACTATCTCTTAGGACAAGAACACACTGGTACCGAACTGGCCCACAGGTATAGGTACTCAGTACCAGTGACAAAAAAGAAACAAGTCCTTCTGTTCTACTGTTAAAAAAAAAAGATGATTCTTAGTGACGAAAATGCACTTAAAATAAAGTATAAATAACACAAAGTATTTAAAAATATTTGGCCACAAAAAGGTGACCAATGTTTGAGGAGGATAAACAGGTCCCTCCAATTTTAACATAATACAATTTCCATGTGCAAAAATATCACATTGTACCATCCAGATCCCCCCCCCCCCCCCGCTTCCCTTCCTCTGCCTCTGTCTCTATGTTCTGGGTATTGAGCCCATATCCTTGAGCATTTTAAAAATTGGCACAATTCTTCTATGCCAATGAAAACCAATTTAAAATTTTCATTTAAGAGGCAGAGATGCTTTCAAAATAAGACAAGATGCACTTTGTAGAACAGGCAACAGAAACATCTTCTGAAAGGCAGCTCCGAGCCTCTGCCGAGGACGTCTTCTGTACCCTCTCCTGTCATAGGCATAACTGACAGGAAGCCCCATCTCTGCCTTGCCCTGGCCCAGAGCGGTCAGACGGGCTCAGGCCTCAGAGGGACCCTTGTAATTCCTCCTCATCAGACGTCTTCACCTACTTCCTTTGGCCCCACAGGCTGATGCCTGTCCTCTCCTGCTTTGCAGGCCACCTGCTCCCAACAGGAACTTCAGGGCCTCAGGACAAAGGGTGTGCTGGGTCCTGGGGCCAGCTCTGCCTCTGGTTGGAGCAGGTGGAGACTGGGCCAGCTGGACTCTGGAGTCGAAAATCAAAACAATTGACAGGCAGGCAGGCGCCACTCGGAGAACTCTAAAGATGCATGTAGGCCAGCTGGAAGGCTGCAGCCCGAGCTGGAAGCTCCAAAAAGAGGTTCTTGGAGGGGATATAGAGAGGTAGTTAAGAGCCTGGCTTCTTGAACCAGGACACAGCACACTTGGTGTGACTTTGAACAAATTACTGATGCTGACCACCTCCAGCTGCATCCAGTGGAATTAACAAGAGTCCCTGACATTATGGGGCTAATGGAATTATATCACCAGGCACTGGCAATAGAGCGGAGGTTATTTAGGGGCTTCATAAATGCTCTATATTCTTGTCACTATTATCATTGTTATAAAAGAACGACACAATCACAGGAGCCACAATCCAGCTTGCACACAAACTTTTCTCGTAGATTCCACGAGCTGAACTGGGATCTCAGAGGATAGGCAGCCCTACAGACCCCTCATTTTTGCATTGTGAAAATGGAGGCTGTGACTTAAGGCAGGTAGTAAATTCTGTGTGGCCACAGGCAAGAGTATGTTAGGTACCAACTGATCTATGTCACTGTCAGGTGCCGGAGAGAAAACAAGTCAACTGCTTGTTCCTAAGTCGGGGACAAGACACCCAGGTAAACGTAGAAGAGAGACTGCTGTTGTAAGGAGACAGATGCCACATCACATAACTCTCAGGACCCACCAGTGAGAGAGTGAAAAAGCTAATGTTTTCCTACAGAGCTATCCTGCAACCACTGCTGAGCTCCTTAGATACTAAAAGTAGCACCGACTTAATTCCTTAGGAGGCTGCTCGCCTCATTGCTCAGGATGGAGGAGTGTTGGTGCTTGAAGTGTGTGTGTGTGTGTGTGTGTGTGTGTGTGTGTGTGTAGTGGGTGGGGGAATGGGGGTGGCAGTCTTATGCAGCAAAGAAGAAACAGCCTGTACTAACTATTTGAAATGTGTTTTGTGACCCCAACTTCTTGGAATGGCTGGTCACCCCGAATGGCTGTTTCCACCTGGACTGAACTTATCTGTGATTCAGCAGCTGCTGGGAATATGGCAGATGTTGAGGTGGCACATGTGGGGAGAGACTGGCCATCAGGGCTCCAGTGGCAGGTCTGTGGAGAGGAGTCGGGGCCCCGAAGCTGGACTATTGAGAGAAGTGAGCCTTGCTCGGCATAGCTGCTCTTTCCTATCAGCTTCCCCAGGGGAATGATGAGAGCAAGAAAGCCTAGGAGTCGATGGAGACCTTTGCTTCTTTCTCCAGACAAAGTGCCCTTTTTAATGAGGGGCTCAGATCTCAGGGGCAAGTCTGACAGCAGGTTCAAGTGAGAGACCTGAACCCCTCAAAGCAATTAAGCGAAACCACTTTCCACTCCCGTCTCTAAACCATTCAAACAGCAGTGTGGGTGATAGAAAATGAAAGTTTCTCAGTTTCTTAATTGCTAATGTTCCCCACCCAAAACAGCTTGAGGGAAGGTTAATTACGGTGACAGGTTAAAGAAACCCCAACCTTCTGAAATGCCTCCTGGAGAAGCCGATGGGATCTTAATAGGATTTTAATCCAGAGAGTCTTTTGAATGCTTAGTCTATTCTCCTGCTGCCTTCTCTCCTGATGACCTCAAATCCTTCTTCAACTCAACATGAAAGAGCATTAATATCAGCCATCGATCCATCTACTAATCCGTTTACCTTTCCCTTTGAATCTTCCGCATGACATTGCATTTAGCGGAGGGTGGGGGGGTGGGGGGTGGAAAATGCCTACATGGAGACAGATTGCAGCCAGGGGAAGCAGACAGACATGGACACACTGTCTTAGGTAGTTAGAAGTTAGGGGCCTTGCCTTTTGAGAGACCCGCTCTTTGTAGATGTTTCTTAAGACTTTCTCCAAGTTGGGGTTGTTAAATAGGATATTGTGTTGAAAAACAGTGAATTCTTATTTCCACTACAACAACTTTCTATTATATTCTGTGCAAAACAAAGAATGGCTTATGTTTGTCTGTCTATCTCTATCTATCTATCTATCTATCTATCTATCTATCTATCTATCTATCTATCTATCTACCTATCTACCTACCTATCTTCTATCCATTCACCTGTTTTCCTATCTATCTACATAGATACACAAGTATATATATATATCATCTATCTGTCTATCTATCTATCTATCATCTATCTATCTATCTATCTATCTATCTATCTATCTATCTATCTATCTATCTATCTATCTATCTATCTATTTATCATCTATCTTCCATCTATTCACTTGTTTTCCCATACGTCTGTGCATATACACAAGTACATATATGTGTATAGATATGTATCACCTATCATCTATCTGTATATCTTTCTATCTATCTATCTATCTATCTATCTATCTATCTATCTATCTATCTATCATCTATCTCTGTACTATCTGCTATTTATCTTTAGAGTTAAGATTATTGACAGAAGACAGAGGAATCATTATTACTTAAGTTTTTCTCTCTTAACCCAGCCCCCTGTAGGCTTCTCTTTTCTTCTTCAATATTGCTGCTCTGAAGTGCCATGCTGAGTAAGACAGATGTTTTAGATTCATTTCGGATTTCTGTGGTCAGTGAGAGGATCCCTGAAAAGGCTCTGACCTTCCCCTCCCCAGACTTGGCAAATGGTGCACATGTGTGCACGCCTACTTGTTTTTAAGAGAAGGGTGTTCAAAGGAGTCATGGTTCCCAAAGTGTTAAGAGTCTTTAGAAGAAAGCTGCTTAGGGCTGAGTGGTCCAGATGGTTGGGGTTTCTTTAGCTCCACCACCTGCACCTCTATTTTTTCTATCCCTTTCTCCGTCTATCTATTCCGTTCCAATTTTTGTCTTGTCCCCTTTCAATTGGAGACTTTCCCCCATGTCTTTTGCTTTCTCCTGTGTATGGCTTTCACAG